ATTTTAAAAAATCTGTTTAGGGCTTCAAGCAGCAAGCTCTTACAGTATCCACAGATCCTGAGCATCGTTTCGAACTTGCTCTTCAGCTTGGAGAGTTAAAAATTGCATACCAGTTAGCAGTGGAAGCAGAGGTATGTACTAATTCATGATTTTTCATAACTGATGGAAAAGTCAGTAGGTACTTGTATGTGTTTGGTGTAATGTTTTGTTATTAAAGTTTTCCCAAATGCAAATAAGTGGCTCATTTTTGTGAAGTCATTGTCTCTCTTTGAACTTTTCAAAAGATATGTTAAACTTTGCATAAGTTAAATTGATTACATTGGAGATATTCTTAGCACTCTAAGAAAAATTGTTTTCATATCTTATGTGAGATCTATTTTGCAGTATAAGGAAAGATGTAAAACAGTATGTAAACTAGTCTGGAAAGTCTAAAGAGTACAGACCTAGCAGTAATTTGCCAGTGTCTCAAACTAGCTGGAAAGATAGATACTGGTTTTAAAAAGGGGTTTTGAAAGACAACCCAACCCTTTTGTCTTTTGGTGTTGAGTAGAGCAGGCAGTCAGAGGAGGATAGTGCTGCTTTGGTGGCACTCACCTTTAGCAAGGGAGGCCCTTAGCACATCTGGTCTAAATGGGCTGTTCAGGGAGGCTCAAATGGGAGAAATGTTAATACCAATTTTGTAATGATATTTTTACAGATCTTTGCTCCCAATTGTGGTTTAAGAGTAGCATTTACTGGTAAATTAATTTTAGATGTGCAAAATAAATTTTAGCTATGTTAAGATCATCTCAACATGCAGCATTTTGAGTTTTGAAAAGCTACAAGTGAAACATGTTACTGTGAAATACCTAAGGACATAAACAGTTTGGTACATTTTTAAAAAGTAGTATTAAATCACTTGTTAAAATAATTGGAATCTAATTACCTTAAAATGCCAGTGACATGGTTTTACTTTCCCAGTGTAATTACAAGATAAAACTATAATGGGTTGATGATAATTATTCACACATCATTAATATTGATTTGTGTTTAAATTCATTTTGTATACATGAATAATTTCCAACGAGCACAGCTCTCTGTATATATAAATATCTTCTATTGTCAGCACAGTTAACAGAATAATGTTGGAAGTGTAAATGCTTATTTCCAAATATATTTTGACTTGGTAACTTTTCTTACAGTCAGAACAGAAGTGGAAACAACTTGCTGAACTTGCCATTAGTAAATGTCAGTTTGGCTTAGCCCAGGAGTGCCTGCACCATGCACAGGATTATGGGGGTCTGCTGCTTTTGGCCACTGCCTCTGGAAATGCTAGTATGGTGAACAAGCTAGCAGAGGGTGCGGAGAGAGATGGCAAAAATAATGTGGCATTCATGAGCTACTTTTTACAGGGCAAGTGAGTATTAATTTAAAAGATTAATTAATTCTACACTAAGGATGGTTTTTGGAGAGGGATGCAAAGAATGAACCCTGGAGAGACCTGATGGATGGCCAAATGGTGTTGAATAGAGCAGGCAGGCAGAGGACAGTGCTGACTGCCTGTCAGTGCAGCAGCCTTGGTGGCACTCACCTTCAGCAAGGGATCCTCCTAGCATACAGTCTAAATGTTTGAACGAAATGAGCTGTTCAGGGAGGCTCAAGTGGGAGAAATGTTAAACATTTCTCTCAACAGCCCTGCCAGTTAATGGCAGAGGCATTTTACTTTATCATTGCAGGAGGCTATTGAGCTGCTCTAGTGGGTACCTGAAAGGTGATTTTACCCAAATTGGATAATTTTGATCTATTTATGGCAAGAACAAAAGGGGAGAAGTATGCCAGTTACTTTTAGATTTGGGCCTACTAAGCATAAAGATGTCACATATTCTTAAGTCTAACACCATAAACCAAATCATATGGACATTAGTAGGCGGTATTATGAAATAAAACACAAAAGTATTTTAAAAAAAAAAAAAAGGGAGTCTCACTCTGTAGCCCAGGCTAGAGTGCAGTGGTGCAATTTCAGCTAATTGCAGCCTCCATCTCCTGGATTCAAGCCATTCTCCTGCCTCGGCCTCCCAAGTAGCTGGGATTACAGGTGTGCACCACCACACCTGGCTTAATTTTTGTATTCTTAGTAGAGACGGGGTCTCCCAGAGACCAGCTAGGCTGGTCTCAAACTCCTGACCTCAAATGATCCACCTGCCTCATCCTCCCAGAGTGCTGGGATTACAGGCGTGAGCCCCCACGCCTGACCCGAAAGTATTATTTAACCTTGCCCTACATACTGATTTAATTTTTTTACAGTTCCATACTTCATCATAAAACTTTTAATGTGCACCCATCATATGTATGTGAATGTATTTATGAATTTATATACCTGTAAAAATAGACCCACTATTCCTTATTTGTAATTCAAAAATCCTAAAATATTCTGAAAATGATTTTTTATAACTGTTTTGATGGCAAACCTGAGCTGAACTCTGTTGTACTATTTTAGTTGCTTTTATACCAATTTGGTGCACTTTTATTGCATTTAACATTCCTCCGTAAGTTATTGCAGTTATTGTTTGTGGCTTTTATTTCTTGCTGAGGATGTTAGGTAATCCATAGTATACATACTCTATCACTTTTCGAAAATCCAAAAATTTCTGAATTCTCAAACACATTGTCCACTTCATAAAACTTACACAGAGAAAAAATGACATTTTGATATTCTGCTGGGCACCACTGGCTTGTCTGGCCCTTCCCATGTTGGAGACACTGCCCTAGGTATTTGTCTTGTGGAACTGAATTTCTGTTGGCATATGTCCTGATGCCTTTAAAATTTGCTGATCTAATTTGCCTTAACTCCTCTTGAAAAGCCCCTTTAGGTTCTTAGGAATTATTAAAATTAAGTAGATTCAAAGTGGTCAGGAAAGCTGTCATATCCCTCGTACCCTTGGAGTGTGTTGATTATGTAACAACCATTAAAAGACAAGTGACAGAAATGAGATGTGTGTTAAGATTGGGGAGATTTTTGGCTTTGCAACACTAAATTTACTTTTCTCTGTGTTAAGTACTATTATTATAGTGTTAGTATTCTTGGTAACAGTACCTCTCCTTTATGTTTAGGGTTGATGCCTGCCTAGAGCTCTTGATTAGAACTGGACGGCTGCCAGAAGCTGCCTTCCTGGCCCGAACTTACCTACCCAGTCAGGTTTCAAGGTACAGAATTTTAATTTTAGGAAGAAATGATTCCAATAAAAACAGCACACTTACTTAGTCTCTTTTTGGTTCCCTGATGTAGGGTAGTGAAACTCTGGAGAGAGAATCTCTCAAAAGTCAATCAGAAAGCAGCAGAATCCCTTGCTGACCCAACAGAGTATGAAAACCTGTTCCCTGGATTAAAAGAAGCCTTTGTTGTTGAAGAATGGGTGAAGGAAACACATGCCGATCTGTGGCCAGCCAAACAATACCCACTTGTCACGGTGAGTGGCCAGGACGTCAGGCTTCATTTATTGTAACTACAGGATGGAAATGTATTCATGACTTCAGATTTTGAACTGCAGTAAATACGTTTTTTAAAGTTAAAAGCTGATAATCTGGGGTTTAGGCCAAGTTCATAGGTAAATTATGATTTCAAAATATCTCATTTCATTATTGCTTTATTCTCTGATAGCCAAATGAAGAGAGAAATGTTATGGAAGAAGCAAAAGGCTTTCAGCCCTCAAGATCTACAGCTCAACAGGTCAGTAGAGTACTTCACGTGAGAAATTTGGCTGAGATGGTTGACTTCTAAACATTATCTCCCACTTCCCAATTCCGATCATCCTTCTCTTGGGGGAAAACTAAATTCCTGAGTAAATTCCCTTGTCTTCATTTGGGCTTTCAGGAACTTGACGGGAAACCTGCTTCTCCTACTCCAGTTATTGTGGCCTCCCACACAGCCAACAAGGAAGAAAAGGTAGTTCAGACATCATAGTCAAACATCCCTCTCTCCCATCCTCCTCCCCATCAATATCTGGAGGATATACAGGCCTCTGTGGTTTAAGTGATATTACCAGTTTCAGAGCAGGGGCTTTGAAATGAGAAGATGCTGTTTTTGACTGTTAAGAAAATTTTAATTCTCATTTGGATCTTATACCCACAGATAACTTTCCTTTAACAGTACTGTAAAACTTAATTCCCTCTTGCTTTTGTTTGCAGACTTTACTCGAACTAGAAGTAGATTTGGATAATTTGGAATTAGAAGATATTGACACAACAGATATCAATCTGGATGAAGATATTTTGGATGACTGACTGTAATGTTTTCCATTTACCTGACTAAACAGATCATTATTATATATAGGTATTGATTGTTACCCTGACCACAGTGCTTTGGACTATGAGAAACTTCAATTTTTATATGTAAATGCTGTGGATCACTGGGAGCACAATGCCCACATCATCTTAAGAGTTTATGTGCAGCATTTAAATCACTGTTTTCCTTGTTAACTAAAACAGACATGGGCTTTGATTTTTTTCATACTATTAGACCATATCTCATAAAACCTTTTGAATTAATGAAGATACTTGTGTTTCCTTTCTCAGTAAGGAAAATAGGCCTCTAGTTTTAGAAGGCTGGGCCGAAACTATACCTTGTCTAGGAATCAGCCCCACTTTCTTTTCTTTGCATGACTAAATCTGCATTTTCAAGTGTTGTCAATCACATTTTTCTTAGAGCTGAATATCCATGCTGCAATTCTCTAAACCCTTTTTATTGACCTCATTGCGTCATTCCACAGGTCTTGCCCTGATTTTGTCTAGCAGCTACCCATTTCCGGATTCAGATGTGAAACCTCTGTTCCTCTGACCTTATTAAGCTGAGATCTGTCTAAATTACTATTTGCCCTATTTGGTAACACACACACACGCAAAAAGTATCTTTTAACTGTACACTCATCTAACATGATTCAAGAAATTCATAACCAGGCACTCAAATATCCTTGTAGCCTAGGAAAGTGAGTAGGGTAACAATTTTTGTTTACCTTTGGTAAGCAAAATTGGTACCTTTTAATCTCACCGTTTTTAATATTTAGCTCAATATTAACAGACAAGTGTAGTCAGTATTTAGTAAAATAAATGTATTTTAAAAATATTTTCAGGAAGCTGCAGAATGGCTGAGTGTTTCTTGATGATAAGTTTGCAGTGTTAGTTCTATATATGCTCCCTTCTGTGCTTCTGTTTTTGCAAAGACCTGTTTAAATTAAAAAAAAATTTAAACCAATTGGACATATATTTATAAATTTTTCAGTTTTAAGATATCATTAGCATTTCTGTAGTAGCAAAGAGTCCTACTTAAAAAGGTCTTTCAAATTTCACAATTTTTCCTGATCATAAATACCCATGGACAGAAAAACAGTACCCAGCACATTTCAAGCAATACTAATTCTAAACAAACAACAGAAGTATCCCATTAAGACCCTGACATTGTACTAATATTAATACTTCCTGCTAGAGCAAAACAAAACCATTAGGTTAGAGAGAAACCTGGAGGCTAATTTTTCACTTCAAAGAATATTTTCTCCAAATGCATTTTGTTTTATCTGGTTCATCAGAAAATCAATACTGTAGTTTCTCTCTACTCTTCCTAGGATGTCATCACAGGCCACTGTCCCCTTAGTAAGATTAAAACAGTATTACTAGGATAGAAGCCAGTATATTTTCCACAAAACCATGTATATTCTGAGCATTAGAAGAGACGAAATTATACAATCTCTTCTTTTCTTCCTGAAAAAATCATCTCAGCATTTACAGATAGATATATATAAGCCCATGGTTTTGAGAGGTGGGCAGCTCCAAAATGACAATACAACTAAAGCTTGGTGAAACACAAGCACCACATTCTCCATTTCTTGACACGTGCCCATTTCCCTCAATGTGATGTGACCACACTACAACAGGAAGCTGCTCTGGGAGACACGTGCTACCTTCTCCTCTACCCTGTCCTGTTGGTGACTTGATCACCTCAGATGCAGCTCAGCCCTTCTGGTGCTCCAAAGAACAAGGGGGTTGCTGCCCCCATTGTCCAAACTTCTCTGGACTCCAGCTGCTAGGATGCCCATCACTCAACCTACTTTACTGTATCTACCCCCCTCCTGTTTCTATTGCCCAGGCTGAAGAAATACAGGAACAAATCAAACTGATGTTTTCAAGACTACAGATGTCCCATATTCACAAATCTGTTTAGTTACCATCAATTATGACCCAATTCTGAATTTTTCTCAACTCAGTTACTACCACAAAACCAATGTGGAAAGAAAAAAACTTTACCTTAATTAAATTTATTCCCTCAGCAGCCTGATCCTTGGCCTCTTGAGCCGACTGGCCGTCTGGATGGAGTATGTGATACAGCCGAACCAAGCTGATGGCATCATCGATTCTGAGAATGAAAGGGCTTAATGTTATCTAGGGGTTTTCTTCATTTGCTTCACAGTCCTTTAAAAGTATGTGCCAACCTCAAACTAAATTACATTCAGACTTTCCTCAGGCTGAGGGGTTTGGGGAGGGACCTTCAGTTTTATAGTTTCAAAAGCATTTTCAGGAAAATTGACTAATTTAGGTTTCACACCAATGCCGTGAGGCAGGTAGGGCAGGAGTCACTGCAGGAAGTGTCCAAACGTGGCTATATTCTTTTTGGAAAAAGAGCACCATTTCTCACAGAAACAACATTCCTAATGGTAGATAATTTCCAGGCCCGCCCACTTCACCAGCATGTAATAGTCTAATCCAACTCAGGGGACAGAAATACAGCTTCATCCTACATAAGTAGGAGGGTGGTGGTCACAGAGATCTCAAAGTCACTCGCTTCTAAGTGATACCTGCTAACGGAGACAAATGCCTCTACAAGAGGCCCCCTAAGATTCCCAGGAAAGACTCTCGGGCCACCGGACTATTCACAGGAACGTATGAATAAAAATTAGCATCTAAAGCTAGCATCCCAGTGAAGCAAATTATACACACACAGCAGACAAAAAGGAAAGTCGGGTTCTACATCAGCAATCTGTCTAACTTCAGCATCACACAACTACCTATGAAGAAGCCAGAACAAGAACTCAATTCTTCCGGTTTGTACTTACTTCTTAGAAATGTATAAACAATTTTTATCAACATTACAACTTCCCCAAACCAACCAATCACCATCTTCTCACACAGCTGACACTTTGCTACTATTTGCCATCTCATCACTGGAGGGCATATAAAAATCACATTCAGAATGTTTGTGCTTTTGAGGCTGTGCCATATATACTTAGTGAACTACTGGCTTGCAGTTGGGAATAGAGGGCTGAGGATACCCTAAGTCAGTGCTTCCACAGCTAGCACTCTTTGACCTTCCCTGCTTTCCCCTTACCTGAGCTAGGGGATGAAGAACAGGATGACAGTTGGAGTAAGTACAGAATTCCTCAAGCCTTGGCAGCCTTAGAGAAATGCTCTGGGCTTATCCTGAGGTTCATCGACCCTAAAGGCCATCTCAGGGAAAACAGAAATCAGAGCTGTTTGTATAGGAAAGCTTTTCAGGAGGAAAAAAATAAAAATGTTCATTACAAATCTATTGTGCTTGTTACAATCTAACAAAGTCCAATAAATGCAGCAATGAACTGTCTCCCCAGTAAAAAAGTAAAATTCCCTTTTAGCCTAGGCATATGGCCTTATAAAGAGCTTAACTGGATTACTACCTATTGGTATCTTTAGGGCTTCGTTAGGTGCATGCTGAAGTATAATGCCTGTGCCTCACAGAACAATTTAAATTTAGCTTAACACCCCACCCATACTTCAAGAGCAAATAAATTGTACTCCAAAAAGATTTTTAAAGGATATCAATATGAAAACCAACAGTGGGACCTGAGTCTGAAATAAATGTGTGCAGAATCCTAATTCTTGCCTCAGCTCCATTCAGTGAGGATGTGCACCCTCTACTGTCCAGCCTGGGATCTGCAGTAGGCTCAGTGTCCTGCTCAGAATGACCACAGGAGGGCTTTTACCTAATAGTAGGAAAGGCTAAGTACTCAAACTTCCAGCAAGCGTGAACCACTTCAGATGTAAAGCGTACAAGTGATGAGTAATACTATAATATCATATATTAATACACCACAATAAAGAACTTTTTCAAACATTTCTGTGTTGCTCTAATTTTTTATAAGAACATACTGTTTTAATAATAAAACAATTTCAGGCCAGGCACGGTGGCTCACACCTGTAATCCCAACACTTTGGGAGGCCCAGGCGGGCAGATCACCTGAGGTCAGGAGTTAGAGACCGGCCTGACCAACATGGAGAAACCCTGCCTCAACTGAAAAAATACAAAATTAGCTGGGTGTGGTGATGCATGCCTGTAATCCAGCTACTCAGGAGGCTGAGGTAGGAGAATCGCTTGAACCCAGGAGGTGGAGGTTGCGGTGAGCCGAGATCGCACCACCGCACTCCAGCCTGGCCAACAAGAGTGAAACTCTGTCTCAAACAATTTCAGAAATGATCAAACTCAAGAAACTTAATAACTGGAAAATTCATTCATAGGCGATAATGCACATAAAGACAAGTCACTTGAGCATCCTGATCACCACCAGCCCAATTATGGGGTATGAAGGTATATTTCTGCTGTCTGATTTACATTACACTACATATGCTGGTGAAATGGGCTGGTCTGGAAATCATTATTAGGACTATTGTTTCTATGAGAAAGGATGCCCTTTTTCGAAACATGGGCTGTATTTTATTCTGAAGATAAGTTCTGTAGAACTCAGTTCCACATGCCTTAGCTTATTGTCTGTTTATTAGGATACTCTGTAAGTCAAAAACAGGTTGAAAGTGGCAATAATCTCAAAACTGTCTTGTAGTTCAGACTTTTGAGTCCAGCAAGGGCTTTTTGTGGAACACTGACCTTTCTGACTACAGCTTTGCTGGTTCCTTGTCATTTCGGCCTTCCTAAACCAACTGATAGAAAGATGCTCAAAAACTATTTTCTCTTCAGTTTTATCACAAGTTGTTTTATTATCGCAAATTGTATTATTTCTAGTTAGAAGCCTGGGAGCACACCAGCCTGATGCTAAAATACAACAGATATTTTTTGTTTCACACTACTCTGAAAAGAAGCTAACTTTTTTGATGCCTTAAAAATCTTGCAAAAGCAAGGGATATCAAAAGTATTTTCATAACTTAAAGGATGGTGTTTACTGAAAAGCCCTAGAAAGAGTTCTACCAAAAAAGAACCACAGAGCTTATTTCTACTTCTTTACATTTCCTATTTAATCCCCCTTTCAGTATCTGGAAAGTTCACTGACTCAGGGGCATTAGTGAGCCCAAGATAAGCTAATATTGAGGGTTTACAGCACAGATCCAAAGCCACTTACCAAGAATCTAGCACTGTTTATATAAAAGCAAAAACTAGGAGAGCTAGGTTATACTCAAAGAGCAAATCCATAAACTAAGGTAAGCAAGCACTAGACAATACACTGTTATCATTGGAAAAATACCATAGCTTAAAACAGATGAACTGTTAGAGCAACAAGAATGATTCTTTCACTTACTAAGATCATACTTACAAATCTCTCTGAATCTGGTCAATCAGCAAACCATCAATCCTTTTATTATTGACTAAATACCACACCATTCCACCAAAGTATCTTGTTGAACGTAAAAGGTCGTATTTTCCATGTTTATCTATATCTTCGTAGGTCAGGTGATGAACCTATCCACATAAAATGCAACTCTTCAGAAACATGAAAATAAAAAGTAGGCAGCATTATTCAATGTACACTGATTAGCATGAGTGCTGCCCAAGTAAGTAAAACCAGGTCTACTTACAGTTGCCTCCATATCATTAATCGACAGGTATGATTTAAACCATTCCTAGTACAACCCACCTTAGGTGGAAGGAGGATTCTATTAAGAAAGAATGTTGGCCAGGCACAGTGGCTCATGCCTGTTATCCCAACACTTTGTGTGGCTGAGGTGGGAGGACTGCTTGGGCAGTCCTCATCTCTAGGAAAAATTTTTTAAAAATTAGTTGGGCATGGTAGGCCACAGAACAAGACCCTGTCATTGTCTAAGTGACAGCAAGTCTGTCCCTTCTCCACTACAGAAGTATGCAGCAAAGCCTGGAGCAAGACACCAAACATTTATAGCCATATTAACTACATTTTGGCAAGCCAACTACAATTTATTAAGCACCAATTACACATATCGAGACCACTAGGAATAATGTAGCACCCACTTCTTGGTCACTATGGGAGAAAAGTAATTAAGAATATTTTTTCACTACTTTCCCTTTCCCCTATTCTTCCCATCAACTACCCTATTCCAACAGCTAGCCTATTCCATCTTATTAACTGAAAGTCTTTCAGTCCTCCTTCCAGATTGATCTTCCTAAATGAAGATTCTGAGGGGTGTTGCTCTGTTCAAAAGGCTTTCAAAAGTCTGCTGAATGAATTCCAGATTCCTCAGCCTAGCATCTGAGGTCACCTATGATGTGACTGCATCCACCTTCCTGGCTTAATCTTTAGTCACTCCCCTGCATATACACTGAATACACAAGCAAACCAGATCACTGGCCATTCCTCAAGCCCTACTTTATTTCCTGCCTGATGCTTATACTGTTCTCTCTACCTCAAACACTCACCAAACTCCACCTGCCACAATGTTTCCTGCACTTCTAGAACCCTCCGTAACACCCCTACGAAGCCTTTCCTCAAAGAATTTGTAACCTTCTCTTAGTGCCTAGCATTTTAGGTCTGAGGAAATAATTATCTGTTACTTACTAGCTTCTTTCCTCACCGCCATATCTGGACTGTTGGCTTTGGCACAGCATACCTTATCCTAGTTTGTGGCATCACCTATACTACACAAGACAATACCTTACACATAGAAGGTACTATGAATACTTACTGGGCTGTAAGACACACACTGTACTTTGGCAAATTTTAGTAAATAACTTGATTCCTATATGGTAAACTGAAAAGACAACAGGCTTTGTCATCAAACTTGGGTCCTAACCCTACCACTTAGTAGCTATGCAACTTTCAGCAAGCTACTTAACTCTACAAGCTTAAATTCCCTCATCTTTAATCCAAGGTTGTTGTGATAAAATATATTATCTGGCACACATCTGTACTCAATAGATTTTCAGATATTTCTCTTCCCTTTCCCCCTTATCAAAACTTGTGACCAAATTCATTGTACTTGATTAAAAATCTTACTCATAACCATAATTAAGCCTCTATTTTAGAAACTAAAATATACTCACCTTGATATAATCTGCAGAATCTGGCTCAAACTGGGCAAAGCAGAAATTGAGGACATCAACATGCCTGTCCTGGCTATACATAGTCTAAAACCACACAACAGAGTTAGCATCGTATGGGAACACAAAAGTTCAGCACCCGTCCTGATGCCGTGACAGGCCTGCCCCCCAACATAATGGACACTCTGTGCTCATCAATAAGCATAAAGAAGTAACACAGGCTTTGTAATTGTCACACCTAGATTCAAATTCCAGCTAAGTCAATTATGAAAGCGAGAACCCTAGTACAACCCACCTTAGGTGGGAAGAAGGATTTTATTAAGAAAGAAGTCAAGTTACCATTAGAAATGTTTATCTGGGTCAAGGCAAAATGCTAACCAACAACAATGCCAATTGGTTCTACAAATAAATCATCAACACTGACTCTAAAATATAAAACCTAAGTCACCTTACCGTAATATTTTCTTCCTTGAAAATTACTGGTGTCAAAACTTTACGACCTTCTTTTGGGAAATAAATTTGTATCATTCGGTCCCGTTCTTCCCAAGAGGCTTTGCGTAGTGTGCCACTTGGTTCTCTGACGACAATAAAACGCTCCTAAAATAGAAAAAACATAATCAAGGATGCTTTGTGAGGACTTATTTTTAGTTCCTGTGTCCCACTAAGACCATTATAAAAATTTGCAATCAACAATATAAAAAGCGACTGAGAAACATAAAATGCAATCATGCATATGAGTTCAATGATAATTTTAAACCTCAAAAACTTAGCAAGGTTTGATACTTCCTTCACTAATCACTGGCTGTGCATCTGACAATCAGAAATCTAAAATGAAAGTATTTAGTAAGTACCAACTATGGAGCTAACGTGAGTTCGATACAAAAAAAGCTGATCTGAGATTCGTCTGTATCCATTTAGAGGAAAGAAGTGCTATAAGACCTTTCTAAACTTTCATTTCTCTACCCCAAAGTCTCATCTAAACAGACTTTACTACTTTATGATCTATGTTTGACGTCCTTGGGATAAAAGGAACAAACCCAAGAATGTGGAGTCTTACTTCTGCACTTCTATGATTTCTCATACTGGCATTAGACATAAACATGCCTGACAAGACTGCCTGGCCTACCTGTCTCTGGTCACTTCACTCTTCCAACTGCCAAGTCCCAGGCCATGAGATCACTTCCTCTTCTAAATTCTACCTATTTTTTTATGCCATTCAACTGGGAATTTACCCTGGGCAAGATTTTCGACAGCCCTCAGATATTGCTCTGTAACTGCAAAACGGCAGGAAATGTGAATTATAATTCTTTGCAATACCCAGAGTGGCATACATGGAGCTTTGCACATTGCTGATAATTGATACACACCTGATTAATGTATTAAATTAACCAAATGGTACTAACTCTCAACTTTTCAGAGGTGTAGGAGTCTCTAAATGCATTCTCAATACAATTAAAACTTTCATCAACACTGTCAACAGGAAAAAAAGCACATGCCAAAATAATACAACTTTCCCTCAGAAGTATTTTGGTAATTTGAGAAACCTGAATTCCAAGTTCCCTTCTCCTTTTCACATTATAAAATGCTTCCCAACCAGCTTTCATAGCACTGTAAACATACACTAAAGCACCACAAAACAAAAATTTTAATTAAAGTTGAAACTCTGTGACGAGTTCATTAGGTCAAGTATACAGGTGGCTGTTGATATTCACCTGGGGTGGCTGGCAAAATATTAAAGATATATTAGGAAAAATTATATATTATAGTCTCAAACCTTTTGGAAGGCCAAACAGATTTAATGGGGCAGGCCAAAAGCGGCCAGCTGGTCCATTAAGTTAGGGAGAGGATCAGGACTATAAGAGACTTTCCCAGTTTAAGTCTGTTTATCCTACATCCCTTTGTCTGTACTCTGTTTACTCATGTAAACTTTGTGCTGGATGGCCCTCTCGAGGAAGATCAAAGGGGAATTACCCATTTATGGTGTTTAGTCTGGGCTCGGAACCTAAAGCTTTTATCATTTGTAAAACCACTCACTTAACCATGTTAATCATCCACAAGTGTATTAACTTAGAGCCTCTGTTGTAAAATTCACACTAAATAAATGTAATAATGGAGAGGGAGTCTTAGTGGATTGGTTGCATTTCACCCTCTAAAAGCAGCCAACGGCCATCCCTAGCCCACTCAAATTACTGAACAAGGTGTGAAAGTGCATTCATTCAACCATGGCTGAGTCAGGGTCTGCAGGCCAGACTTCTGCAGGTGGTGACCCTGACATGATCAAGGTCACAGATGGCTGGTGCTGAACATAGGTCAAATCATTTTCTAACCATAATCATGCATAATAAAATATTAATATGGAGTGGACCTTCTCCCAAACTCAGCATTCTATAGTGTTCTAATGTATTCTGTGGGCTGAATTGTAAACTCTCCTCTTTTTATTCTTAACTTGCAAAGGCTCAAATAAAAAACTGATATATTTCTAAAATGCCAGAGTGTTCTTTTAAATTGGTAATCAAAGAAAGGGGAGCCAGAGAATAACAAGCACAACAGAAGAAGTGGTGATGCCTGGAAATTATCTGAGAAACATCTGTCATTCTTACTGAAAATTCGGGAAAGTGAAACTCCTTTATGAAGTCTGAGTTTCTTGGCATCATCAAGGAATTTACAGGATGAAAACAGTCTATCTTCTCAAAAAGCTTTTGCTAAAGGTATCAGTCTAACTTAGGCAAAAAGAGTCTCCTGCTTCTACTGTCTTGCAGATTTTTGTCCATTTGTGGTTTGGGATGGGTTTCTGTATCTGTGTATCTCTTGTGCTGTCTCAGCACATCTGGAATCTGGAATATATTGTGTCTATTATCTGCAGGGAAACAGTAACATCATGACTTGGGGCTGGTCTGCATTTCTCATTGCTCTTTTTTTTTTTTTTTTTTTTTAATCTTCCAGAAGGTCTCACCCAGTCAGAGGAAATCTGGTTTGGAAGCATAAAAGACAGCCAGGTCACATCATCCCTCAGGCCCTTCTCCACATGGTATTTCAAAGATCATTCTGCAATTAAACATATACTCACCCGGTGTGGTATGCTATATGATATATCAGTAAACACATATTTGGCTGTTTCTGTTCCTTCCAAAATCTTATCTTCAGCTAACACATCATTTATTGGTACTCGCTCTTCCAGAACTGGTGGCATTTTTAATTTTACTTTAGCTGCCTCAACTGCCTGTCTTGTAGCCTAATGAAAGAAAATATTTATTAAGGAACACCACAAGGTTACGTAACAAAAAGATCATCCAACAAAAGCAGATACTAATAAAAAAAAATGTGAAAAACTGCAAAGAAAAGAAGCTGTAGCCATGAATCAGTTAAGTAAAAAGCCAAACCCGTGAGCCCTGGCCTTTGCCTCTGCAGTGTGGCTGAGACCACCAGCTATAGGCTCAACCATTATCAAAACCACAAAGGAATGATCTGAGACAAAGCCAGGCTACAAAAGCTGCTTGAGATAGAATAAGGAATGTAGTTATTGGGTGCTTACTATGTACCAGATATGGTTCAAATACTCTAAAAGTATTTGGCTCATTTAATGGCCGCAATTACCTTATGAGTTAGGTCCAATTGTTACCATCTCCATTTTACAAAAGAAAAAACAGAAACACACAGATGTTAAATAAATTGCTAGGAAATTGCAGCACTGGTATTTGAACCTAGACAACCTAACTTCAAAGCCCATTCTCTTAACCACTGACTACACTGCATCATGCCACACTGTTAACAGCGGTTACCTCTAGGAAGTGAAAAGGGGGACTTTTACTCTTCATATAATCTAATATTGGAGATATATAAATTTGCTATGACTATAAATTACTTTTGAATCAGAAAGATGAGTATTAATGCTTTACTTATTCATACATCAAAGTGTTTTTCACAAAGGACTCAGTACCTATGGCTCCAGGAGGACACTGGTGCCTGGGAAACATGCTGTTTCCATTCAAGATCTCATAATCTCATCAAAGCTTCAGCCCCAAGGCAGCTCACAATAGACATTTCTCCAGGAAGGAAGCTGGAGCAGGCAGGAAAAAGGAAGGGTGCTCAGGCTGGCTTAAGAGCAGAGAGGGGACTCTCTGAACACCCAGACCTGATCCATATGCCCTAGTCTGCTCAATTCCAGCCATGCTCCTTGCCGCTCTCTGGCTGTCTATGCACATTTCCTTTCTCAGTTCTTTCTATGCCTGGCACTACCCTTCACTAGTGCCTGTGGAAGAACAGCTATAAGCATCTGCAGGGGCTTCCAGAAATGCCGTTTAACCCATTAAAGAAAGGTACTCTAACAATATTCCTGCATTAACCCACCTCTTCCAACTGTGCCTGAGTCATTAGCTTATAGGTTGGTGGTTTCAGTTCTTGAATAGCTGGCTTAAAAGTCTTCTGCAAGTTCAAGCCTGTCATTTTCGTGAGTATGCTTTGAACTTCTTCATCCATAAATGTAGGTTTCTTGGTCTCTGGGCTACCAGATTCTGCTAAAATAAAGTTTAGTAAATAAGAAGGTGACAAAAATGACAAGCCAACAAGACCTCTAAATAGAAAACTAACAATAAAAAGTATTATCACAATGTCTACCTTGGCACTGCAAGATGCTAATACCTATGAGATTCATTTATTCTTTCGTTCATTTAAGATTTACTGAGCATTCATTATGATGAGGTGATAGACTCAGTCTCTGCCAAAAGGACAGGCTACTGGAGGAAGTAACAGGAATAAAGTATATAATGTTATAACTGTAATGGTTGCTGCCATTTACAGAGCTGTCTCTATATGGTAGGTATAACATACATTTTTCAGGAATGCTTACAACCACTCACAAAATAGGTACTGATATCCCACTTTTAGAAATGAGGATGCTGAGGCCTACCAAAAGACAACTATTAAGAGTCAAAATTTAAACCAAGGTTTGTCTGGTTCTGGATACTAGATGGTTTCCAATTTATCATAGTACTCCTTGGTGTAAGTGAAAGATGTGAGGAGACATAATGTGAGAGGTATGGTATACAGGACAGGTATGGGGCTTGGTGACTGCAGAGCAAGAAACTAAGCATAGCCTGGACTAAGTAAGGATGGACATGACGGGGTCAAAGAAAGCTTCCCAAGAGCCTCATCAGGGCAGAGACAAAAGGGAGGGAAAGTCTAGGTAAGAGATTGCAGCTAGGAAAGAGAGGCTTAGATCACTGAGCATGATACTGTAGAGACCATGTGGTATCATGGAAGGACCTTTCACATAAGAGGGGAATAAAATCTTAGCTCTGCTTCATACAGTTTGCCTATTGCTTTGTCTAACCTCTATTTCCATTTCCATTAGCAAAAAAGAAAGAAAAAGCCATTTGTTTCTAGTCACCTTTTCCTCTCCCAGTCCTATAAATGTTGGTATCCCTCAAGATTCTGAACAATGTCCTTTGCTCCCTTCTCATTCTTACTCGATGATTTCTCCAAGCCTCCCATGACTTCAATTGCTTTTTATATGTCAGAACTCTAAAATCAGAATCTCCAGCCAAGATCACTTTCCATCCAATTACCCAACATCTCTCCTGTACTTATACTACCAAATTAGAACCCATCAACTTTCCCTTGTCTCAAACCTGCATTTTCTACTGTTCCCTATCGCGGCATCATCCAGTAGGTCATACAGGCCAGAAATCTTACAGTCACTCCTCAATTCTCCCTGATCCTCCAGATCTAGCCAATAGCAGTAATAACAACAATAATCAAATAGCTGTAATAATAATAATAAGAGCTGCCATTTATTAGCTATTTACTATGTGCCAATACTGACTGAGCTAAGTACTTTGCACACTCAGCCCATTTAATACTCACAACCACCCATGAGGTGAACACTACGATTATCCCCATCATACAAAAAAAGAAAAAAAAAAAAAACACTGGCAGAGAACATACTGATTGTTTGCCTTCATAAATATCATTTTAATCCTCCATTTCCCATTGCCACTACTCTAGTCAAGGCCATCCTCATCTCTTGCATCAGCCCCCCTTCCTCTATTCTGGCCCCATTGCAGATCATTCTCCACTGAGCAACCAGGGTAATCTCCCTAAAATGTAATCAAGATTACTCCCAAGCTTAAAATTCACAAATGGCTTCCAACATCATTTAAAAAAAAAATTAAAGCAGTCTGCTTACTTACACTATGTCTCTCACTAGGTGATGTGCTCTATGAAGACCAGAACCTTGTCTTATATTCATCTCTGGCACCCAGGGTCCCTCAGGGTATACAGCACACAGCAAGTACTCAGCACTACTGTCTTCACAATCTCACCCATTCGCCCAACTTTAGTTACCATTTTTACTGCGATGTTCCTCAGTTTATATCTAACTCCATACTGAACACCTGACTTTCAAAGTCACCTTAAATTTAATTCATCCCAAATAGGTTTAATTCCTCCTTTCCCATCTCCCGACCTCATCTACTCCTGCACTACCCCCTCCTCTGCCCCCAAAATAATGATTCCAGCAATTAATCTCCATCTTGGTGTAAATGGGACAACCCTCCATTCAAGTCAAAAACTTAAGAAACAATCTTGATTTTTCCCTTTAAACTCATATTCAAAGCCTTAACCAAGCCTTATCAATTTTATCTCCAAAATGAGCTTCCAAATACCTGTGCTCAGTCTAATTTCTGGACATTCATACTGTCCCTTGTGCTTGAGAAGCTTCTTGCTATCTCCTCAGCATGGCTAACCAGATCGCAGCCTTGGTCAAATTTTCCAGGAATCCTTCCCTGACCTCCCAACCTAGTTTGAGTCCCTCTACTGTGTGCGTGCCCTATAACAGCCCGCGTCACAATGCACTAATTCCCCATGAACAGGAGTTCCCACAGGGAAAGGTCTGTGCCGGTCTTAGCTTGCCATATCTCACAAACACTGTGCTCTGGTAAGGACCGGAAGGAACTCAGGCACTGTTGGCCGAGTGAGTGAACGAACGAACAGATGCAGGTGATGACAAACTCTACAGGTACAGAAGGAAGCCAACTGAATCTGAGGAGGCGCCACGCTAAGTGTCGCAGGGGCTGCCGCGTGGTTTTCGCCAGCCAGAAAACAGGATCTACGTCTCCCAGAAGAACGCCCCAGCGAAAAGTCCGGAAGGTCACTTACCGGCCTCGGAGCTGAGCCAGCGGCGTGGCAGCCCGGCCTCGAAAGAGGAAGGTAGTGCTTGGAGCAGGCCACAAGGCCGGGGCTCGATTCGGTCCCGGAAACAGACCCACTCCACGCCCCGAGAACCTCTCAAGAGGCTCCACAACAACGCAGTGCTTCTTAGAGGTGCCATGATTATCAGAGTGCACCGGAAGTGGATGAGAGAAATTTCCGAGTCACGCCCAGTTTCTTGCAGCATTCTGGGAAATGTAGTCTAGTTAAAGGCGGAAAGCGCCGGAAGTCTTCTGGGCCTTTACAGACTGTTTATACTAAACCACTTACCCACAGGTGGACGGTGTTTATGTCCTTCCCTATGAATAAAGTTAAAACACCTGTTTTTCTGTGCCAAGCACTTATCCTAAGGCCTGGCAAACAGAGTTGTTAGTAAACTCGTTTCCATCGTTCTAAATAACAAATTTCGGGCCAGGAGCGGTGACTCAAGCCTGTAATTACAGCACTTTGGGAAACCAAGGTGGGCGGATCACCTGAGGCCAGGAGTTCGAGATCACCCTGGCCAACATGGTGAAACCCCGTCTCTACTAAAAATACAAAAGTTAGCCAGGCATGGTGGCAGGTGTGTGTAATCCCAGCTCCTCGGGAAGCTGAGGCAGAAGAATCTCTTGAACCCTGGAAGCAGAAGTTGCAGTGAGGCTATTGCACTCCAGCCTGGGTGGCAGAGTGAGACTCCCTCTCAAAAAAATAAAAACACTCTAGCCTGGGTGACAGAGCAAGGCTCTGTCTCAAATAAATAAATAAATGCACTCTAGCTTGGGCAACAGAGTGAGATTCCATCTCAAATAAATAAATAAATAAATAAATAAATAATTTATTCCACTTCCTGCCAAAACCTTCTCTCCCATCCCCAGGTTTAAATCCAGCTACTTTTTTAACTTCTCCATCCACACTTCTCACACACACCCTAAATCTAACTTCTGATTCCAAGTCCTGATTACCACCTTGACCACTGCCGCCACCAATGCATACATTCGATTCTCTGTCTCAACACTTACTCCTTTCCTTTATAACCGTTTTACAATCTGTTATTTTGCTCTTTATCTGCTTATTTTTCTCACCCCATGAAGACAGCAACTCTGCATATTTTATTGCAATATCACCTAGGCTAGTACATCCACATGCACAGCAAACTTTTGTTGAATAAATGAATGAATGATTGATTAAATGATTTTTAATATCTTTTCCCAACTGCCCAGGACGTAGAGGTCTCATCCTTCTCTAGACTATAGATGAGTGCCTGTGCTAAGCACTTCAAATCCTGGCAAACAGAGTTGTTAGTAAACTCTTGTTTGAATTCACTGGATGAATAGACTCATGTTCCAGCCACACCTCTTTTCCCCCAGGACTGTGTATTAATAGCGTTTGGGAAGGGTGAGCACTAGGCTTGGTGCCTATTCAGGCATGACTGCTACCCTGCACTTCCCAATGCTCACTCCTACCTGATAGCCAGTGTCAGAGACTAGTGGTGGGAGAAACGCAGGTGTCTCCTAGCCCATGCCTTTTCTCTGAAAAGCAACCCTTTACTTTCTTCCCATAGCTGAGAGGGCAGGCCTCAGTGGCTATGTTTTTTCTGTAAACATCCTCCTGGACGCAGCTGATTAGACACTTAGTACAGGAGGAATGAATCCATTGGCTGCTGTGTTAGTTTCCTGCGGCTGTTCTAACAAATTACTACAAATATCGTGGCTTAATATAACAGAAATGCATTCTCTCACAACTCTGCATGCCAGAAATCTGAAATCAGTATCACTGGGCTGAAATCAAGGAAGCCGTGCTCCTTTTAGAGTCTTTATCTAGGAGAGAATCTGCCCCTTGTCTCTTCCAGTTTCTGATAACTGTAAACATTCCTTTGCCTGTGGCTGCATCATTTGAATCTCTGCCTCTATCTTGACATCAGCTTCTCTTCTTCCATTTGTGCCAAATATTTTTGTTTTCTTTTTTGAGACAGAGTCTTGCTCTGTCACCCAGGCTAGAGTGCAGTGGCATAAATCTTGGCTCACTGCAACCTCTACCTCCCAGGTTCAAGCGATTCTTCTGCATCAGCCTCCCAAGCAGCTGGGATTACAGGTTCCTGCCACTGCGCCCGGCTAATTTTTGTATTTTTAGTAGAAACAGGGTTTCACCATGTTGGCCAGGCTGTTCTCAAACTCCTGACCTCATGATCTACCTGCCTCAGCCTTCCAAAGTTCTGGGATTACAGGCATGAGTCACCATGCCCGGCTTGTTTTCTTCTTATAAGGATGTATGTGATTGCATTTAAGGCCACCCCAATAATCCAAGATAATCCCCATTTAAAAATCTGTCTTAATCACATCTGCAAAGACCATGTTTCCATATAAGGTAACATCCACAAGTTCCATGGAGTACAATTATCCTTGGGAGGAAGTAGGGGGACATTTTTCAGCCTACCCCAGATGACCAGGACCAAGCAGATTTTTTTCTCAATAATTCAAACTAAGAGACATAGAATAGTTGATGGTGAAAGGTTGAAGTGAGTAACTCTTTAGGGTTTGGGCTGAAGTAGCCTTTTTCAGCAATGTGCTCACTGATGAGTGAGCAGGGAAAAGCCACTGTGCAGAGAAAGGCATGAAAATAGAGCAGATCCTCAGAAACAGAGATGGGAGAATATGTGTGGAGAGAGATGGAGAAAGGTGCTGTCTTGGCTAGAGAGATTCCCACTTTCCTTTCAATAACCTCCTTTACTTGGGCTACCGTGAGTTTTACTGACAAAGAGCAACCAAGATTCCTGATTTCCACTATAACCTGGGACAGATGCTCACAACTTTCAGAGCCCCAGTACCTCACCTGCAAAATGGGCATAATGATAATACTTACCTTGCAGACTTTGAGAATAAAGTACTTTCAGGATCCGATGTCTGGTGTTTCATAAAGACGGTGTAAGAGGTTGTATGGTGGCAAGTCAGTCAGTTATCTTCTTTTTTTCTTTTTCTTCTTTTTTTTTTTTTTTTTTTTTTTTTTTTTTTTTTTTTTTTTTTTTTTTTTTTTTCTGAGACAAGGTCTTTCTTACTTTGTCACCATGGCTGGAGTGCAGAGGCATGATCTTAGCCCACTGCAACCTCCGCCTCCTGGGCTCAAGCAATTCTCTCACGTTAGCCTCTCAAGTAGCTAGGACTACAAGTGCACACCACTACGCCCAGCTAATTTCTGTGTTGTCCAGGCTGGTCTTGAACTCTGGGGCTCAAGCAATCTGCCCCCTTGGCCTGCCAAAGTGCTGTAATTACAGGCATGAGCCACAGCGCCCAAGTCAGTTACTTTCTGAGGAAAGTATTCAGAGGTACTCTGCTTGCAAGAAATAAATCTTTCCTGAGTAAAATTGAAATGGAAGTAATTGGAAGGATATTGAATATCACAGAATTTAAGAAAAAGCTGAACAGCCAAACTTCAGGAAGGACTTGAAAGATGGCAGCTCCAAGAACCCCAGAGACAGGAACTCAAGAAATCTCTCTAGGAGGTTGCTGTCTTAATGGATTAGTTCCAACTCCGTGCCTTCCATTCAATCTAAGTTCCTGGTGAAAGGCTGATTGACCTGGGTGGGGTCCTGTTCACCACTGGGGGTTGGAGAGGGTTGACCCTGTGATTGACAGTCTCAAGGCTATCTGGCTGCAGCTACTGTTAGGATACATTAGGTCATATCTTCACCAGCTCTGTGGAGCAAGAATGGTTTTCTATTATTTGTAAAACAAAAGTTTAGTGATGTCTCAGTGGGAAGTGCCTTAGCCCACTGTCAGTGATTTACCAGGGCCTGGACTACTGTTTTTTAAAAGAGATCAGTATTTTATCCTGAGCTTTTAGAATCCAAGATGGAGTTTGGGGATAAATGTCAGGGAGAGGAATGGAGAGAAGAACAGAGCCTAATAAAGAAAGATGACCGTCTGGATGATGCAAGAACCCCCGCAGTCTCCAGCAACCACACTCTTGTGACTTCTACATAGTCTTCAATTCCCTATCCTTAAGGCCTCCTGCAAGGTCCACATCCATCCCACTTTTGTCTTCACCCAGAATTTTTCTTCTGCTGCTCCCTTATTCAGAGTCCAAACTCCTTACATGTTTCTACAGAGGCATAAATTCCATGGCCAAAATTCCCCTTTGTGTGCTGAGAAGGGACTAGTAGCAAGGAAAAAAGCAAAGATCCAGTAATGAGAAGGGACCAGTGATGTTGGGAGATTCCTGAGGAAGCTTCAGAGGATGAAGATTCTAAGTGGAGGCATTGGTAGTAGATGCAAAGGGGCCTCTGCACCGGGAGGCCAGGAGTTAAGGATGATTAGAGCGTAGATACGTTTTGGGGAGAGAATCAGAGACGTCCTGCCTCTTTGTCCCTCTTTTTCTGAGCATTGGAAAACAAAATCACTGGCTGAGAAGATGTACAGTTGTGTTGGGAGCTATGGGAATGAGCAGTTTGAAGTATCTGCTGGGGCTGGGCACATGGCTGGGATGCAGCCTGCTGAGCAGTGGGACAGTCTAAGGGACTCAGCAGTACAGAAGAGGAGATAATTCCAGAGAAAGAGAGAAACATTTGAAGATATTCCTGGAAGCCTACATGAGGGTGTACCTGAGCAAAAAACCTTGAACAATGGCAGGAATGGTTGAAGGTGTGATGGCCCAAGCCCCTTCCCTTTCACTCAGAGTGCACCGTCTTCCCATTAGCCCTGTTGGTCTTCATGGCAAATTGGTGAGGCAAACAGGGCAGGCACTGATATTCCATCTTCTATTTGCATAAACTGAGGCTCTGAAGTTAAGGGTCTTGCGCGAGACCACCCAATTTATTCCATGCAGTGACAAGGCTGAACTCTGAGGTGCCTGGCAGCTCTTGTGGTGAAAAAGCTGTGTTCCACATGTGTTCTATGGGGTGAAGGAAAACACCAACACTTCCAGAAATTACATAGACTGACTTCTGAGCCAGAATGTGACCCAAAAGAGAGAAGGAGGGAGACTGTCCTCCACCACAAGACAGTGGGGGTGGATGAATCAGTGTCTCTAACCCTGGAGTTATCAGTTTATCTCCAATTTTCCACGTGACACTCTGTCCTTTTACTTCTGATAGCATCCACTGAACTACAATTCTACAGAAAACTAACACTTGAAACAGAAAATGATTGCCAGGGACCAAGGCTTACACCAGTCTGTGATAACAGGCAGACCCTCTGTACTATAGCACAGGGACATA